TACCATAATAAAATCAATCTTAGCTACGTCGACTCCAGCTACATTATTCACGTGGTGGGAGTAGCATAACTTAGGTTGACTTACCATGGTAGTGTAGACAAGGCCTAAGAAAAGGAAGGAGTGCAAGTGGCAGAATAAGGACTTCAAAGAAGCAGACTTTACAAACTCAGAGAACTGGTAGGTAAGGTCCCATGGGAAACAAAATTAAGGGGGAAAAAGGAGTTCAGGAGAGCAGGCAGTTCCTCAGGAAGACAATATTACAGACCCAACTGTAAACTATCCTGATGGAAAAGAAAGTTAGGAAGAATAGTAACCGTCCATTATGGCTCTATCTGGAGAACTTCAATGACCAGAAAATAAAAAAAGAAATCATACAAAGAGTGGAAACATGGAAAAATTGCTCAGGAGGAGTACAAAAGAATAGCACAAGCATGCAGGAACAAAATCAGAAAGGCTAAGGCACAAAACAAGTAACAGCTAGCAAGAGATACAAAGGCAACAACAAGGGGTTCCTTGAATACAATTGGCGGCGTAAGAGAGAGACAAAGGAATATATACGTCCTCTACTTAGTGGAGGTGAACTAATAAGTGATGACACCAAGAAGGGTGAGCTGTTTAATGACCATTTTGCTTCTATCTTCACTAAAATGGTTAATGGTAACTATTCATAGAATCATAGGACTGCAAGGGACCTCGAGAGCTCATCTAGTCCAGTCCCCTGAACCCATGGCTAGACTAAGCATTCTCTAGACCATCCCTGACAGGTTTTTGTCTAATCTGCTCTTAAAAATCTCCAATGATGGAGATTCCACAATCTCCCTAGGCAATTTATTTCAGTGCTTAACCACCCTGACAGTCTGGACGTTTTTCCTAATGTCCAACCTAAATCTCCCTTGCTGCAATTTAAGCCCATTGCTTCTTGTCCTATCCTCAACAGTTAAGAAGAATAATTTGTCTCCCTCCTCCTTGTAACAACCTCTTATGCACTTGAAAACTGTTATGTCCCCTCTCAGTCTTCTCTTTTCCAGACTAAATAAACCCAATTTTTTCAATCTTCCCTTACAGATCACGTTTTCTAGACTTAATTGTTTTTGTTGCTCTTCTCTGGACTTTTTTCAATTTGTCCACATCTTTCCTGAAATGTGGTGCCCAGAACTGGACACAATACTCCAGCTGAAGCCTAATCAGCACAGAGTAGAGCAGAAGAATTACTTCTTGTGTCTTGCTTACAACACTCCTGCTAATACATCCCAGAACGATGTTCATAGTGTTTGTTTTTTTTGGCAACAGTGTTACTGTTGACTCATATTTAGCTTGTGGTCCACTATGACCCCCAGATCCCTTTCCACAGTACTCCTTCCTAGGCAGTCATTTCCCATTTTGTATGGGTGCAACTGATTGTTCCTTCCTAAGTGGAGTACTTTGCTACTGAAATACTGAATTTCATTCTATTTACTTCAGATCATTTCTCCTGTTTGTCCAGATCATTTTGAATCATAATCCTATCCTCCAAAGCATTTACAACATCTCCTAGCTTGGTATCGTCCGCAAACTTTATAAGTGTACTCTCTATGCCATTGTCGAAATCATTGATGGAAATATTGAACAGAACTGGACCAAGAACTGATCCCTGTGGAACCCCACTCGTTATTCCCTTCCAGCATGACTCTGAACCACTGATAACTACTCTCTGGGAACGGTTTTCCAACCAGTTATGCACCCACCTTATAGTAGCTCTGTCAAGGTTCCTTCCCCACTCTGAACTCTAGGGTACAGATGTGGGGACCTGAATGAAAGACCTCCTACACTTATTCTTACCAGCTTAGGTTAAAACTTCCCCAAAGCACAGATTTCTTTCTTGCCTTGGGAACCAGCTTAGGTTAAAAACCTGGTATGCTGCCACCACCAAGAGATTTAAACAAAGAACAGGAAAGAGACCACTTGGAGATGTCTTCCCCCAAAATATCCCCCCAAGCCCTACACCCCTTTTCCTGGGGAAGGCTTGATAATATCCTCACCAGTTGGTACAGCTGAACACAGACCCAAACCCTTGGATCTTTAAGAACAATGAAAAATCAATCAGGTTCTTAAAAGAGGAATTTTTATTTAAAGAAAAGGTAAAGGTCACCTCTGTAAAGTCAGGATGGTAAATAGTTTACAGGGTAATCAGATTCAAAACATAGAGAATCCCTCTAGGCAAAACCTTAAGTTACAAGAAAGACACAAACAGGACATTCCAGCACAGCGAATTTTACAAGCTAAAAAAAACAAAAGAAAATCTAACACATTTTCTAGCTAGATTACTTACTAACTTTACAGGAGTTGGAAGGCTTGCATCCTTGATCTGTTCCCGGCAAAGGTATCACACAGATAGACGGATGAAAACTTTTTTTCCACCCCCTCCAAATTTGAAAGAATCTTGTCCCCTCATTGGCCATTTTGGGTCAGGTGCCAGTGAGGTTACCTTAGCTTCTTAACCCTCTACAGGTGAAAGGATTTTGCCTCTGGCCAGGAGGGATTTTATAGCACTGTATACAGAAAGGTGGTTACCCTCCCCTTTATGACAAGCTCAATCTAGGTTGCAGTTCCCAAGTTTGTTTATGAGAAGGTCATGCGAGACAGTATCAAAAGCTTTACTAAAGTCAAGATATACCATGTCTACCACTTCCACCCTAGCCACAAGGCTCGTTACCCTGCCAAAGAAAGCTATCAGGTTGGTTTGACATGATTTGCTCTTCACAAGTCCATGCTGACTGTTACTTATCACGCTATTATCTTCTAGATGTTTGCAAACTGATTGCTTAATTATTTGCTCCATTATCTTTCCGGATACAGAAGTTAAGCTGACTGGTCTTAATTCCCTGGGTTGGCCTCACTTCCCTTTTATAGATTGGCACTATATTTGCCCTTTTCCAGTTTTCTGGAATCTCTCCCATCTTCCATGACTTTTCAAAGATAATTGCTAATGGCTCAGATATCTCTTCAGTCAGCTCCTTGAGTATTCTAGGCTGCAGATCATCAGGCCTAGGTGACTTGAAAACATCTAACTTGTCTAAGTAATTTTTAACTTGTTCTTTCCCTATTTTAGCATCTGATCCTACCTAATTTTCACTGGCATTCACTATGTTAGACATCCTATCACCATCAACCTTCTTGGTGAAAACCGAAACAATGAAGTCATTAAGCACCTCTGCCATTTCCACATTTTCTGTTATTTTCCCCTCCTCATTGCACAACAGGCCTACCCTGTCCTTGGTCCTCCTCTTGCTTCTAATGTATTTGTAGAATGTTTTCTTCTTTCCCTTTATGTCTCTAGGTAGTTTGATCTTGTTTTGTGCCTTGGACTTTCTAATTTTGTCCCTACATATAATTTTGTCCCTACATACTTGTGTTATGTTTATATTAATCCTTTGTCATTTGACCTAGTTTCCACTTTTTGTAGGACTCTATTTTTTTTTTTATTATTGAAGATCTGGTTTAGCCCCAGGTGATTTATTGCCATACTTCCTATCTTTCCTACACAGTGGGATAGTTTGCTCGTGTCCTGAATAATGTCTCTGGGCATGGCTACACTTGCAGATGTAGAGAGCTTTGAGTTAGACCCGCCTTCAAGAGCGTAGTAGGGAAAGCGCTGCAGTCTGTCCACACTGACAGGAACAAGCGCACTGGCGTGGCCACATATGCAGCAGCATTGGGAGTGGTGCATTATGGGCAGCTATCCCACAGAGCACCTCTTCTCATTCTGGCACTGTGGCTTGTGGGAAGAGGATGGGGGGTGCAGGCATTCTGGGTCCCGTCCCAACGCCCCGTGATGCATCGGTTCGCATCCCAGCAATCCCTGTACTTCCGTCCACATTTGGCACCATCTTTCAACGTTTTTTGTACTGCGCGCTCTGTCTTCCCTTTCAATCTGTGGGAATGGAGCCCAAACTGCTGAGAATTATGCTGACAAGTCTCACCAGCACGTCACGTTTGGCAGTCGAGTTATTCCTTTTGATCCAAAGTGACAATGAGGGCTCCGACATAGACTCAAGTAACGCATATGACACGAGTGTGCTTGTGGCATTCACAGACCTGCTCACCACTGTGGAACGCCGATTTTGGGCTCAGGAAACAAGTACTGAGTGATGGGATCATATCATCCTGCAAGTCTGGGAGGACGAGTAGTGTCCGCAGAACTTTCGAATGAGAAAAGCCACTTTCATGGGACTGTATGAGGAGCTCACACCAACCCTGCGGTGCAAGGACACGACACTGAGAGCTGCCCTGATGATGGAGAAGCAGATGGCTATTGCATTTAGAAGCTGGCAACTCCAGACAGCTACCAATCGGTCGCTAACCAGTTTGGAGTGGGGAAGTTGACCATTGGAATTACGTTGATGAAAGTTTGTAGGGCCATTAATCGCATCCTGCTCAGAAGAACGGTGACTCTGGTGCATGACATTGTGGATGGTTTCCCTAATGGCGGAGGGGAGATAAATGGCACACGCATTCCAATTCTGGCACGAGCCCACCTAGCCTCCAAGTACGTTAATTGGAAGGGGTATTTCTCTATGGTTCTCCAGGCGCTTGTGGATCACCATGGGCATTTCATTGACATTAACACAGGCTGGCCTGGAAAGGAGCATGACGCTTGCATCTTTCAGAACACTGGCCTGTTCAGAAAACTGCAAGCCGGGACTTTTTTCCCAGACCAGAAGATCACCGCAGAGGAAGTCGAAATGCTCATTGTGATCCTTAGAGACCCATCTTACCCTTTAATGCCGTGGCTCATGAAACCCTACACAGGGAGCCTTGACAGCAGCAAGGAGCAGTTCAACAACAGGCTGAGCCAGTGAAGAATGACTGTAGGGCGTGCTTTTGGCTGTTTAAAGGGCTGCTGGTGCTCTCTGTATGGGAAGCTGGACCTGGCCAATGACAGCATCCCCGCGGTTATATCCGTGTGCTGTACCTTCTGGAACATTTGTGAAGGGAAGGGTGAACGATTCACTCCGTCAACACCTGGAAGCTGAATTTGAACAGCCAGAGAGCAGGGCTATTACAGGGGCCCAGCGTGAGGCTGAAAGGATTAGGGATGGCTTGAGGAAGCAATTTGGGGCTGAAAGCCACCAGTAATGTCTGGTGCCCTGCACGGGAGTGAAGTTCAGTGGTTCCAATGTTAATAGGAATCTGTGTTTGCTACGCTGACTTGCGGTGCCTGTTTCTTTCCTGGTCTAAGGTATCTTTTACTTTATGCAATAATAAAGAATGTTTTCAAAGCCAAAAAATCCATTTATTGAAAAGAAACACAACTGCTTGGGAAACTGAAAGGGCAAGGGGGTGGGGTGGGGAATGGTACAATCAAGATTTGCATATGTCCTGTTATCATACTAAGCCTTTCTGGCTGGAGTGCTGTGCAATGAGTCCTGCACTTCAGGATGGCTATACTGCATGGTGATGGGGGTTGAGTGCAGAGGGTAAGGGTCATATTTTCAGGGCTGGGTGGTGAAGCTACAGGTGTTGGAGGTAGCTGGTGGCGGTAAGAACCCGGATGTTGGGGAAAGTGGGTTGGAGGTGACATGGGGGCACAAGGGAAAGAGTTTTGGGACAAGGGCTGCGGGGAGCGCACAGTAGTGTTCCGCCTGCATGGCTACGAGTGCCTGGATTGAGTCTGCTTGGCACTCCATTATGCTTATCAGCTGATCCGTGCTTTGCTGCTGGAGCACTGAACTTTTGTGCCAGTGCTCCTCATTCTGCTGGCGGATCCTCCTTTCACTGTCCTGCCACTCCTGCACTTTTTGAGTTTTCGTTACTTGAATGCTGCATTACTTCATGCAACATGTCTTCCTTGCTTCTACATGGCCTCTTTCTGATTCTTTGGAGTCTTTCGGCCAGTGATAACACGGACGGCTGAGATCTCACGGTTGCACCTGTAAAGGCAAAATGCAACACTTAACAGAGGCAGCATTGTTTACACCAGACAGAGCAATGATTTCCCCATACTTAAGAGCAAGCACAGTTGACACAATAGCATAATTTGCCCGTCCCAAAGCAAGCGCACATAACCCACAGGAGCCCCAAAATGGTGAGTAAGCACAGGGTCAAGCGTGACTGCTTGTTTCACAGCTGTACTGTCCTCTGAGTTTCTGTGCCTTGGGGAGAGCCAACAGTGGCAGGGGGCCCCTATACTGAACACTGTCCCCAAATTTTCCACAGGAGTTTGTCCTGGAAGATATCTCGCTGCTGAGGGTGACCTGGGAAGCAAGGGAGGGTCTTCTACCGCAATGCGGATTCCACCCTGACTCATATGCAACTTGCCTGTATGTAGCAATGGTCCCCCCACCCCTCACAGCACAGTGGCACGGACAAGTTAGCCTTACTGGGACAAGGAACACAGTGGCTCTCCTGAGAAACCTGCGCAAGCGCATTGCCCAAGTTCTGGATGAGATCTTTGAAGAGATCACAGAGGCCGATTACCACGATGTGAGAGAGCACTTCAACACCCTATTCCACATCAAGGAATGCATGCAGCCGTAACCCTCCTCACTCCAAGAGCCTGCACTGAATAACTTCCTTCCCAAAATAAAAGCCGCTTACTGGGAACCTCCTCTGGTGTTTGTCCTTCCCCAAGCACCGGCCACCGCGACTGGCTACCTTCCTCCTGGCTTGAAAACAGCTCCTGACTGCATGCATCTAGGGATTGCGGAGTGTCTTTCTCCGCCTCAGCACCCTCGCTCCTGCTTTGCTGCTGCTGCTCCTCCTCTCGCCTTGCTGAACTGGGCTCTGAAGTGTCCATGGTGGTACTCAGAGTGTAGGTGAGGTCGGCCCCAAGTATCACGTCCAGCTCTTTGTGGAAACGGCAGGTCGCAGGGGCAGCACTGGAGCAGCTGTTTGCCTCATGGGCTTTGCGGTAGGCATTCTGCAGCTCCTTCACTTTAATCCTGCACTGCAGTGCGTCCCGGTCATGGCCCCTTTCCATCATGTCTCTTGATATCTGCCCGAAGGTATCATAATTCCTATGGCAGGAGTGCAGTTGGGACTGGACAGCTTCCTCCCCGCAAACACTGATGAGGTCCCTCACCTTGCCATTGCTCCATACTGGGGATCTCTTGGCACGTGGAGGCATAGTCACCTGGAAAACTTCGATGAGAGCGCTCCACCCCTGGCTGAGCAAACAGGAAGGGAATTTTCAAAATTCCCAGAGAATTTAAAGGGCGGGTCTGATGGTTGATCATCTGAGGGCAGGGCAGTAGAGTTCAAAGTGATGACCAGAATGGCTAGAACAGGCATTGTGGGACACTTCTGGAGGCCGATCAGAGTGCAGTAACAGACCACGGCATCCACACTGGCGCCGCGGCACTCCAGTGGGGGAGCACAAAACGTTATTCCACTCGCCGAGGTGGAGTACCAGGAACGGACCAGCCGTGGAGTCAGTGCACTCTACGTGCCTTGCCAGTGTGCCCGGGTAGTGAGCTAGTGTGCCCAGGGCTCCTTTAATGCACTGTAACTCACAAGTGTAGCCAAGCCCCCTCTGAAAAACTGCCAAGTTACTCAACATAACGAAAATTAACAAGGGGGAAGGTATACAAGCCAAAATAGAAAAATAACAGGTTAAAGAATATTTAGATAAGTTAGGTGTAGTTTAGATGGCAGGACTTGATGAAATTCATCCTAGGATACTTAAAGAAATAGCTGGAGCAATCTTGGAACCTTAGCAATTATCTTGGACGACAGGTGAGGTCCTAGATGATTGGAGAGGGGCAAACATATTACCAATGTTTTTAAAAAGGGAACAAAGATGTCCCAGAGAATTATAGACCACTCAGCCTAACTTTGATACCTGGAAAGATACTGGAACAAATGATTAAACAATGAATTTTTAAGCATCCAGAGGATAACAGGTTTATAAGGAATAGCCAGCATAAATTTGTCAAAAATAAATCATGCCAAAAATCAACCTAATTTCCTTCTTTGAGAGGGTTACTGACCTAGAGGATGGGGAAGAACCAGTAGACGGGATATATCTTGATTTTAGTAAGGCTTCTGATGCAGTCCTACATGATATTCTCATAAGCAAACTTTGGAAAAGTTATATGAAATTTCAGTAATTGTTTTTGTTTATACAAAAGCAAACAAATTAAAATGATAAACTACTGTAAAATGAGTGGTTTCAGAGTAACAGCCGTGTTAGTCTGTCTTTGCAAAAAGAAAAGGAGTACTTGTGGCACCTTAGAGACTAACCAATTTGAGCGTGAGCTTTCGTGAGCTACAGCTCACTTCATCGGATGCATCCGATGAAGTGAGCTGTAGCTCACGAAAGCTCACGCTCAAATAAATTGGTTAGTCTCTAAGGTGCCACAAGTACTCCTTTTCTTTTTGTAAAATGAGTGAACAACTGGTTGAAAAACCATACTCAAAGAGTAATTATTAATGGTTCTCTCTCAAACTGAGAGGGCATATCTAGAGGGGTCCCATAGGGGTCAGTCCTGGTTCCAGTACTGTTCAGTATTTTCATTAATGATTTGTACAACGGAGTGGAAAGTATACTTATAAAACGATGACACCAAGATGGAACGAGTTGCAAGTTCTTTGGAAAACAGGATTAGAACTGAAAACTACATTGACAAACTGGAGAATTGGTTTGAATTCAACAAGACAAAATTCAATAAAGATAAATACAATGTACTGTGCTTAGGAAGGAAAAATCAAATGCACAAACACAAAATGGAGAACAACTTGCTAGGTGGTAGTACTGCTGAAAAGCAGCTGAAGGTTACAGTGAATCAGAAATTGAATATGAGTCAGAGTCAACAACATGATGCAGTTGTGAAAAAGACTAATATTCTGGGATGTGTTAACAGGAGTGTAATATGTAAGACACATGAAGAAATTATTTGACTCTTCTCAGTACTGCTGAGGCCTCACCTGGAGTCCTGTGTCCAATTCTGGGCACCACACTTTCCAGGAAATACGGCGACAAATTGGCGAGAGTCCAGAGCAGAGCAACAAAACTGATAAAGTTTTCCTAAACTGATCTCTGAGGAAAGGTTAAAAAAATGGGCCGGTTTACTCTTGAGAAAGAAGACTGAGGGGGGACCTGATAACAGTCCCCTAATATGTTATGAAGAGGAAAGGAATCAATTGTTCTCCATGTCCACTGAAGATAGGAGAAGTAGTAATGGACTTAATCTGCAGCAAGGGAAATTTAGGTTCGATATTAGGAAAAACTTTCTAACTATAAGGGAAATTAAACTCTGGAATAGGCTTTGAAGGGAGTTTGTGGAATCCCTATCATTGGAGGTTTTTAAGAATAGGTTAGAAAAACACCTTTAGCAGATGATCTAGGCTTACTTGGTCCTACCCCTGCACAAGGAACTGGAGCTGGTGACCTCTCAAGGTCCCTTTCCGCTCTACATTTCCCAGAATACAGCCCTCTGGGGGTGGTGAAGAGCTTTTCTTAAAGTTCACAGATTCAACCAACTTTTTTGGAGGGGGGGGGAGCCTATATGCTACAGGTGTGGTGGGGAAGGCAGGCAAAGGAGAGACACACAACAATCTTCTCTCAGGTGCTTAGAATTTACTGTAACAACCATGTAATAAAACTGTCATGATTTTAGGATGCAGACAATGTTTGAGATTTCTCTTACTGGCCTTGTTGGGAACTACACATTCTGAACATTTCAAAGCCATGACCATTATCTCTATTCCATTATAACAAAGTGTACAGGGTGGGGCAGGAGAGAGGGAGCACTTAGGAATCACACAGCAATCATATCAACCTAATGGAAAGAACAGTGTACTGGCACCAGAGGCGTTGGAACAATTTTTATAGTGGGGGTGGTGAAAGCCACTGAACAAAACTGTAAACCCTGTATATGATGGAAACCACTTCACCAGGGAGTGCTACCACACTCCCAGCACTCCTGATTGGTACTCAGAAAATTGGGATACTATTCCTGGATCTCTCACTAGCCTTCTTGGTGACCCTGGGCTAGTCACTTCACTATGTCACCACTGTACAGATGAAAAAAAAAGAAAGACTAAGATGTTTTCCGCCTTGGGAAAGTGCTTTGAGATCTACTGATGAAAGACACTGTGCAAGAGTTAGGTATCATTATCATCATCGTTATCTGGCCACAGCAGCATCTCAACTCCACACCTACATGATAACTGGACATGCCTAACTGTCCACTAATTCCTACCAACACATTTCTCTTTCTATTAAAAAAACTAAAATTCATTAACAAAAAACTTAATTAATATAGAGTTATGGTTGCCCACTGATATCTTGTGACTTTTCAAAATACTGAGGACAGCAAAGAAGATTCTTAAAATGAGGAAATACGCTTAAGGTACCTGCCCATTCAAACTTAACTCTGGCTTCCTTGATCGATGCCCCAATATGCCCATAACACACGTACTCACATTCTGCCTTTGCACCGTACTAAACAGAAGTTACCTATATTTGCCCTACATTCAAACAAACACAATACTAATTTTCACGACCCTTCAACAACTTTTACAACCCCTTCACCCTTATGCACATGATGCCATCTAAATACAGTATTTTCCATTTACCCTTCATAAAACCCACAGACCACATTTATCTCCCACTTAACTGTGGCAAGAAGACCCCTGTGCCCCACTACTGCCATGATCTACACAACACAGTACTGTAATGAGACCACTGAATCTCGGAAGGTACATATGAACCTCTTTCCTTTGATCATATATATGGGTGTCAAGAAGATGGGCTCACCCATGCCCCCAGAGCACCTCATACTACAATCACAGGTCTGCCAAGCTTCTCCAGCTGATACTTCCATCATTCAGTATAGCTACACCTAACAGTGAATGCAGCTGTAGTTCATACAAACTCCACCCAGTGGCTACTGTCAGCTCCAGGAGACCAGAGATAAGGTTGCATGGACATGTACCGTAACCGCATTTTCTGGTTTTCCAAAGTTAGAGTTTTGCTGAACTCAATGTTCTGGAAGGGCAAGAGATACCACTGATCAACCTTAACTTTGCATTCATGGAGTTTTTTGTCAGAATTGTATAGCATTAGACACAGCAGCTACAATGGAATTTAATTAGTTTAGGAGTAGTACCATTCCTCATACTGAGATCTGAACATGACAACTTGGTTATGTTCATACCTCAGAAAGTCTGTGACAACACCCCCCCGCCCAATAAGGTTTGGTATTATCAAGCCAAACATGTAACAAGCTGGACGGTTTTTCATGTAACTTTGTGTTTAAAATCTTAAATATGGATTACTCAATCTCTCTACTGTACATCTTTTATAAAGTCAACTCATTCTGATATAGACTGATTTGCATTTGTATTAGTTGGGTGGGGGGAAGAGCCAGGCATTGAAGAGTATTTTGAACAGAAAACATTTGTCAATCATGAGACATTAGTTTAGAATGGCAAGCTTGACATTATAGACAAGCAAGTGGAATTTTACATTGGGCGTGTGAACACACACAAACCCTACAACTCAGCATTTGGCTGTCTATAATTTTTGTTGAGTCAGATCATAAGTTAAAATAGAGCAAAACACAATTGTATTTCTTCCTCTTTCCAAAAGTTTTTTTAAAAGTGTAAACATGTCTCCATGTGATAAAATCAGAATTACAAGCTTGACTTCTCATAAACATTTTCAGATAATACACTGTGATTTATTTCATAAACCCAATCCTTCACTAGAAATATAGGAATATAATAAAGTTAATTATAGCTTTTTTTATACTATAATTTTACTACAACTGTCTAAAGTTAAACGTTTAGTTATAAAAAATACTTCACATTTTTACCATACGACTATTATCCAATGTTCAGTCACTGTTTAATCAAAAAGGAAGCGAGCACACTCTTGACTTTTGCAGGGTTTATAAGATTTCCAGGGTAAATCAGTCACAATAGCTGTATTTACTCTACCAGAAATCTCATCCAAGTCTAGTAGTATTAGCTTTTCTATATAGCAAAAGTAAATAGCTACTACTATTACTCTTCAAAGGGCACTTTTCCTTTCTGACAAAACTCAAGGCTCTTCTAGTGTTCACCCACTGAAAGTTTAAGTGAGAGTTCTGCCCTCCTATGTTCTCCATAAGATATATGAACAGCCCTTACAGGCCCAAATCCATAACAAGTTTAAAGCAAACAAAAAAAAAAAGATTAAATATTAAATAAAATCATGTCTTGCATTTTTTTAATCTTTGATTCAAAAAGTCATCTTTCCATGTCATTCTATATTCAATAGAACAGGGCAGACAGCTAGCAATCTCTTCAAAATTATAACAGTAGGAATAATAATAGTAACACAAATAATTTATTACTTTACATCTTCACAGCTATATACAAATTTTAATTAAATACTCACAACATCTCTGTGAAATATTAGTTCAGTTTACAGAAGAGGACACAGACCCAGAAACATTACAATATCTGTGTTCCACATAGCAAATCAGTGGCACATCCAAAGTCCACACAGCAAACGAGGCAGTAAAAGATTAGAACTCAAATGTTCATGGAATCACAAGCTGGAAATGGGAAAGATCTGACAGTCGTCTAGTCCTTCCCATGGCAATGCTCACTAGTGTACATTTGCTAGCCTTTCCCCTCTCTAATTTTAAAATAACTCAAACAGTAGAGCTACCACCTTAATTTCATCCTCTTACATTTAGCTACACACTCTTACGCTATTCCTGTAAATAATTACTCTCACTTCTGAAGTCTCCTAATGCTACTAGTTTTGTAAAGTTAATCAACATGTCTGACTGCATCTCTAAGGCTTTATAGATTAGCAGGATTTCCAGATTAATATTGTCTCTGGCCTCAGAGATTAACTACATGCATTCAAAGGATTTTGATTCAAATAAGGTTTACTGCATTTGAGCTCAAAAGGGAAAAGTGGCTACTCCACCTCCAGATTCTCCTCCCTTGGTGTAGGGTTAATAGCATATCCTGGGAGAGCTAACACTGGACTTGCAATATCAGCTAGGTGGACTTCTGCGACAGAGATCAGGTAATGCACCTCACTGGCAATAAGATTATGGATTGTGAACGATGTAAGGCTTGATCCTCTGCTATCAGAGTCAATGGGACTTTTGCACTGATTTCAATAGTAGGATGAGCAAGCCTTTATTGACTAGAGATCTTATGTTGAGGATGAAATC